GAAGCTTAGAAAGATGACACGACTAACCAAGTTCGAACTATATCTTTATGATTTGTAACGCGGCTAATGCCCATCCGCGTATTTCACTATGTCCTCCTCTTCGCTTGCTCATCGCCGGGACTTTGGAAATCAGACATTTGAAATCAGAGTAAGTTTTTAACAATAATACCTGGTATCAGCAGGTTATATGAGCACTGACTATGATATAGAGGTAGGTTTTCAAATTTGGAAACAAATATCCGAAACCCAATTAAGTTTTGAATTCAAATAAATGGTGATCACTAGTCCCAGATGAACAACAAAGTCTTTTAATATACACCATTAACAGAAACAGTGTCTTCTTATCCCTTTACGTTCCCAGTGGAGCATATGGCTTCAAGCTAGAAGCTTGAAGTTTCTGTAGCAGTGGTATTTATTTTTACAGGATGGAGTTTTTAGCCTCGTGCCTAACCTTCCCTCTTTACCAGCCTTGTTACTTACTCGCTTAGGGAGGTAAAGGAGTGCATTGGCCTGGAAACGAACCCTGGACCACATGCGTGGTTGGCGAGTATTCTACAGCTGTGCCACCAAAACACAGTGAATAAGGCATAATACTAGCACCTGGTAGGATATTGACAAGTTCATCACCCACATTTCAGTATAACTTATGTAGAACTTCTGAAATTCCTAACCTCTGCTTTATTTATTTACCATTACCGATTCATATATGTGGATACTGAAAAACGGTCGCCACCTGAGTCTCAGTTTCTACGAAACCAGTTGACTGGACTGCTTGAGGGACTTATAGCGCATTCCTAATCGGCTTCAACTAGAAGAAATGATTACGATTGCTGTGTAGCCATCTGTCATGCTAGACCTGAGCTCTGACTACACTATCTGCCGAATCTTTACGCCTTGCCCCCCAACCCAGTGGCGAGACTGCCCCTGACACCACCCCATATAGAGAAGGGAGAACGTAATCACCAGTGCAGTTAAAGGATATGTTTAACAATGACATGAAGACAGAACAGCTATATGCAGCCACATCACAACAAAAAGATTCTCTCTTGTTCCTTGAAAACCCAGTTGTCCGCGAATTGATCCACTCACCACGGTAAAATTGACCACTGAAAGTGAGGTAGCTGAGATTCAACTGTACAAATAAGCTTCTCTGATCCCCTATTAATCGACAGCTAATGCTTCACCCTTTTTGCCATCTGAAAAATCCTGTTCTGTGACAACTAGATCAGCCGTTGAAAGAAGTGGGCAGGACTCTCTAGATAAAGATGTAGTCATCAACGAAGATGTTGCTTCAGAATCTGCCCCTCAAATATGCCTATGGTTCCTGCTACCTCACCTGTGCAATGTTTTCCGGAGGCGGTCATACAACCTTCTGATCTATTTTATGCGCATTAATAGTAGTTCATACATATCGTAGCCGATAATTAGTCGGTGTAGAACAAAAGAAAGTGTTATTACGAGACCAGTGGGTGATTTTGAAAGCGACACAACCCTTGAAATAAACTTCAGGAGTAGTTCACTATTTCCTGTAATAAACACTGATGCAACACAAGAAGTAATCAACCTGAAAATACTAACGAACGCAAAAGGCAAGTGGCCTCATGTCTAATGACACCATCTCCTCAGCAAACCAGAACGATACTGACCACTAGGGTAGTCACGAGTCACAATCAAGATAGCTGTTTGCAGCATCACTCTATTGATGGATGAAGACTGGCCCACTTAGAGGCACTGAAATGCCTTTGCCATAGGCTTAGGAAGGGCGATATAGTGCCTAAATTGATCCGACCTTAAGGGAGAAAAATGTCACTTATCCCGAAACATTCACCATTAGGAGACACCTTAAACTCAAATAGTGATGTGAAATGAGTTTTTCTGCCAACACGAGCACTAATGATGACTGAATAATCGTCTGACTTAAAAGTAAAATGTAACAGACGGTGTACCGTAAGACAGGCATTTCTCTAAGAACAAAATAAGATGTAACCCATGGCCTGTCCATTGATATCCCGAAATTAACGAATGAGGATTAGAGGGGAAGAATCGAGGCGGTGTGCAAGAGTCAGAGAGTATCCGCGCAAGCAGGGGAGCGTTACCCTATCAGCTGACAACAGCACACTTCCCATATCACCGCAACCTTTGTGGCATATACGCCATGAATTATGGTATTAAACTTCACTCTGAGATCTTGGGTCATATTTTTCATATATTCCAAAGTCTTGAAGGAGTAATTTTATAGACTAAAAATTCCTACACTGTAAAGCAATGATAATTTCATCTTAGCCACGACCAGATTTCATAGAAAACAGAACTAGAGTGGTTATAGTGAATATAAGTGGTCTAAAAATCGCAGTGCTTAATGGATAAAAAGCAAATGCCAACGGAGGCGAAGGGTGTCATCCCATCAATTTTTCGAACCACAAGGCAACAATCATGCACATCAATAGTGGCGCCACCAATAGTATCAGAGTGGATGGCAAGCCCACCAGGTGGTCACATTATTGATATCTAGACAAAAATTAAATGTGTGCATCTGAAGATAATTTCATATAGGGTCTTCTTGCAGGCATCTGAAAACGTTGGACACATTCCAGGAAATGAGACATTGCGTACTGCCGAAGAGTCCCAAACTAGGACGAAACAGCTGGCCAGGACTCCCAAGGTTTTCCAATGGTTCTCTAACTAATGTCAGCTCATGATGAAATCCTGAAATCAATCAAATCCCTACAAACCAACACTTGAAAATGAAACACTTTTGGACGTGGGAAAAGCTCCCGATGATTAGTCACAGTAAGTCCCTCACCGAAAAGTCTCTTAAGCTAGAAGTATTGCAAAGCTCTTCTTTTTTGAAGTCCATCAGGTGGATACAGAAATTTTACAATGATAAACCCCTTACGCTGCATGAAGAAAGCCATCACCTGTGTGTTTTTCCGTGCTCTTATTTGCAGAAGTATTTGATATCTCCAATTCAGTTCCTGTTAAATTTCCATGTCAAACCTAATTTGCAGACAAAACTTGATCTCGTGTTATTGTTGACAACAAAGTTATCACCAGAGTCAACTACCCAGGATATAGCTGAAGCCAACAAGGCACCCCACTTATTACTCCCGAAACTGATCACACCAACAGACAAAACATTTTCGCAGCTATACTTATTAGTCCGCAAATTTACTGGTCCACAGTTAAAAATGGATGCCACTCCCTCGGATAACATACCTCCGTAAGTAGCTAAATCTGTACTGAGGTCAAAATGTTGACAAAAGCTGGATGTATGAACTTCGGCTAGCGTAGAATTTAGGGCGGCGTATGTACGGGACTTACAGTGACGCACGACACGGACCACCACAACAGCAACATACTCCCAAAATGGACTGCGGCACATTCCACAGGGGATCGCTGTCTTCACAGAACAGTAAAATGGCACAATCCGACCCTTGTACCCTGAAAGTTCAAAGTATACTGAGCTTCTCACTGGCTAACACGGCTACCATTATGCCTGTTGGTAGTTTTAACGGAAAGCTGAGTGACCGTAATAAAAGTAAACAGCTGAGCAAATCAGCAAAGTGAAGAATTTATTTGTGTGTGGTCTCAATAGAAATACAAATACCACATCTCTTCATTTTTCTTGCTTTGCTACTTATCCAATCATTTTACTTAACCTTTCAGAGCTTCTTTAGGTGTATGAAATCGTCTACTCAATCATCTTTATGCTTTTACCCACTCATCTACCGAATTTCCTTTCTATACTCTCCCCACCTCATTTTCCACAGTGTCTTGCATTTATCTTGCGGCAACAATTGTATGTCCAAGCTTCAACTTTTCCTTCACGTTCCCAGTGGAACACAGGGCCCCAAGCTAGTAGCTTGAAGTTTCTGTAGCAGTGTTCATTTTTAATTTTACAAGATGGGGTTGCTAGCCTCATGCTTAACCTTTCCCTTTACCAGCATTATTTCTGGCTCAGTGAGGCTAAGGAGTGCGCCGGCCGGGGATCGAACCCCGGCCCATGTGCGTGGTCGGCGAGCGTCCTGTCCGCTATACCACCGACTCCATGTCCAAGCTTCAGTAGGGCACATATTTTCTTCAAAATAAGCTTGACTCCCTTCCCATGCTCTGCTCGAAATTGTCACAGCTACAAACAAAGTACGCACAACTGGTGTCTGTAATTTTAGTCATATGAATGCTGATTAAAGTCTGCTTCCCTATAGTTGATTTCGTTTTGTCGCAAAAGTAGGAAATGAAGATTTTAACACACACAAAGTTATGCAAAATCATAACTCTGGTCTGTACTGATGTGTGGAGACGGTCCAGTAGTGAGTATATAACATCGAGCCATCACTGTCCACTAATAAACCGTGTCGTTAGATTAATGGAGGAGCAGAACGACGAAAAGAGGCCACCTTGTCAGAGAGAACGACCTTTGGCTGCCAGTACTGGTAAGTTGCATTGTTCAGTTATGAAGACGCTGGATTAAAATTTGTATCTTCTGTTCATCGCCAGATATTCACCAGCTTACAGAACAGTTCCGTGAGAGATCTATGAAGACACATTCACAGTCTCACGTTAATTATGGTGCTGTAATTAGGTTGCTATTGGTCACATCAGATGGTTACAAGTAACTACCTACATCCACTATTTTTTAAAGATATAACATATAGAGGACGTAAAGTATTTGGTGCATCGTTTGTAACTGGAAAATTATATAATTTTAGTAGACTGAACCCCTCATTTTCGACAACACTCATCTTAATCAATGTGTACATTTGTGTTCTGAATTTAACGGTGGTCGCTTTTGCTTGGAAGACAGGGAAAAATGAAAAAGTCGTCTTTTCTGGGGTCTGTAACGGGAGATTCACATCATACTCACCTCTGATACAAACTCTAAAAAATTATTCAGTTTCTCATCAGAAATATTTTGTTGACATGGCCGATAATTCGCCTAATACCTTGAAGCAGTGTCCAGAAAACATTATATTTCATTTAACCTGGCCAAAATTTTATACCTAATACACAGTGACCTAAAACCACTGCTTGTGTTTAAGTCTCTTTGATTGGGTACGGCGGCTTTTACAGATTAACTCGTGTCTTGGTGCAGGAATGGCAGAGAAAAAGCCTGACGTCTCTCAGCTGCCGACTAGGAATTGGGTACGAATTACGCTAACTGCTGCAAGTGTCAAGCCGCTTGAGCAAGTTTCTAATGATCTGATCAAGAGAGCTAAGGATCAAAATCTCAAAGTAAAGGGCCCTGTTCGAATGCCAACCAAGGTAAGTTTTTTTCTTGTAAGGCTCATTTCTAGGTTTTACGAATTACTACTCGAAAAACACCTTGTGGTGAAGGTTCAAAGACATGGGACAGGTTCCAGTTAAGAATTCACAAGCGTGTGATCGATCTGCTCTCCACAGATGAAGCTACACAGCAGTTGAAGCACATATATTTGGAACCAGGTGTTAACTGTGATGTTAAAGTAGCTGGGGATTTGTAATTGTGAATAAATTATTCTGACTGGCTTCGTGTTGCAATGTTGTGCCTTTAAAATGGAATCTAATATTCTCCTAGTGAGACACAAAGTATGCTGTTTGTTAACAATCCTTTGACGTTTTTGTTGGAATTGTGGATAATATTAACATATTACGAATCTTGGTATAACATTCAGAAACTCGGTTTGAATATCAGTTCGCATAATGAAGTAACTTTGATTTTAATCGGAACTAATTTTCATCATGATAACATGGTACTTCGAATAGCTACCACATTGTCACCGTTCTATTTAAAGAAGTGTTCACCACTTAGCTGAGATCATTGTGAATTAACTCAGACAGTAAGCTTATTATAGATCTATATATGTTATTGCCTCTCCACCCCTGTCATCGTCAGCATGACATGTTGACAATGTTTGACTAGGCTGAATGGGTGTTCTGTCGGTAGTACTACCTTATTTTGTCGTTTGAGTGAGAACGTTTATAACTTTGTTCCGAATCACCGTTTTTGGGCCCTAACAGGATTTCAGAGTGTAAGTGACACTAATCGAGTTTCCTGAGTCTCTGTGTGATAGTCTTCATTCCTCTCCTTAAAATTATTCAACAGGTTTTACGGGTCTCATTGTATAATATTGAAGCATAGTATGTCTGATTTGTTGTGTAGTGGAAAATGCCCATTGACACTTTTATTTGCTTGTGCATGTCAGTGGGCGGATACGTTATGTTCATTACACCTAGCTTAATTTTGAAGTCCTTGGTTTCTCAGGAATCTATTATAGGTTGTGTAGGTGTACTAAAATAATTGATGAGGTGGGATTATTTTAAATGCTCCGAATATTGATCCTCTTGGTAAGTTATATACACTGACTTGAAACTTGATCAGCTCAACTTATTTTGGTGTTATCATTTGTTAGTTCAGACTGCAGGTAATTAGTAGGATTCTCAGACGGGCTTTGACAATTTTAGAACCTATGTAATAGCCTTTGGGGGCTCTGGCATAAATTGGATATGTCACATCGGATGAGCTCATGTAAATTAATACACCATTAATAACTGAATGACGTTTCTAGCACAGTTACGTCAAATATACCCAACCAGCGTGGAATTACACTCTTCCAGTGCCTTAGTTCTACGCTTGTCCCAAGGTATTGTGTGAATTCAGTTAGCGAGCAACAACTAGACATCACATTATTTCATTTGTTGACGTTTCCCGTTCAGCTGGTGTCCTTGTAAACGCAGTTTTACGACACCTAAGATTTGCATCCACTCATCTGTTCAGTTTAACGATGTGCCATGAATCATTCCTGGGTTCTGGTGGACGTTTATGCTCACATTCATTTGCATATTCCCTCGAGAATCTGGCTTCAAATTATTGTGGTGGAATTTACCAAGAAAGGAGGTTATTAGCCATTTATAATTTGTTGAGTTAATTGCATAAACATAATGCTGTTAGAATGTGACTTTTAACCTAGACAGTTATGTTTAGTACAGTCAAAATATTCAATAGCCCAGCAGTCCAACTGTCGCGTTCATGTACATTTAAGGAAAACCTACTCATCAACTCAGTTTCCTTGTTTTATAATATGGTAATTCGTTTGATTTCAAGGTGTATCAATCAAGAGACGGTTGTGGAAATAGTCTAGTTTATGACTTGAGCATTCTGGATCCACTGCAAGTATAACCTATGGCATTTGGGTTACGAATCGAACATGCTCATACTAAGTTACCGATTCGAAATCTGCTGGCCTAAAGATTTCATTTGTCAATTTAGCAGTATTTTCACAACAGCGATATAGTGTCCTACTCTGACTGTATCAGAACCTAATCACACACGAAATGAAGAATGTTACTTTAACTAGTAGTGTAACTGACTGCCACAATTGGGAAATCTTGAATATAGTGGTCAAAGCAACAGCGTTTAGTCCTTAGCTTGCGGCTAGAAAACTTCACACAATCTTACATCGTCGACCACCGACTAATTGGTGTATTAGTGTAAGCATCATCCATGTTGTCGAAAATCTCATCCACTGTATTAATGTTAGTATTATTTGCAGTGGGATGGGTGAAAATACCTAAGCTGTTTTAATACCGTTCCCACATTACGAGTTTATTCTGGAGAAATTGCTTTTCGGATTAACGTTGAATTCACATTTCATCTTTAGTAGTTTTGTCCACTGATCATATCAGAATAAAAAAAAACTTATTGCTAGCAGAGCTCTCCATATCAAACTTAAGAACGGGCCTGATTAGTGGCGAATGAGAAGAATATCAACTCACTGTTTTTGATCACTTCATTAAGTGGTTAGTTTGTTAATGGAAATAAATTGTGCACTAGGTTTAGTAGCACAATCACTTATTTTCACTTTAAAAGAAGAATAGAAAATGGAGTTGTGTTTCCATGAGATATTAAGAGGACAAAACAAAAAAGGCATATTCGTAAAAAAATCCAGTGAAATTCCCTTCTGACTATTTCCACTGTTTGCTGAATAAAACGTTGCAATAAGTAGTGCTAACTTGATGGAGCTGTACGAAGTCGCTTGCCGTTCAGGAGAATAACTAAGATTATCAGGACAATCTGTGGCTCATTGGTGTAGGTACTCAACTCCACATGGAATGACTGTCTAAAAAAGCAGTCTTATGGCTGTTGTCATCATTACGGCTTATATTAATTGGAAAATTATTATACTAGTGAGGAAGGTTGAGCAGGACTATAAATGCATTAGTGTCGCTATTATACACATCTTCAATTCTATTGTTCTGGATTTTCTGCTACTTTGGACCATTCTTTGAAACATTGGACAGCCGCGATTTCAACCTGACTGAACCTGCGATTCTTGTCATCTCAATTATCGGTGATTCTTTGTTCAAAACCGTTATTACACATTCTTATTTACTTGTCTCAGAGCAGCACCTGTAGCTGGAGCCAGGTAATCTTAAAATTGAACAGTTGTTTAAATTTAAGCTTCATCACCACTTAAATTCTGATTGGAATGAAAAAATTGAAGGGTCCATGGATGGTCAGGTTTTCTGTTAGTCATACCTAGCGAAGTGTTCATAAGAGGAAACAGTTGCTGACTTTTTTAAACACTAATGCCCCCTGCTTACAGCCTGATAATCTAAATTAAACTTCTGTTTGCTTACAGTAACTTTAGATCCGACACTCTTGTTCGGTAAACTTGACAGGGATTCTCAATCTTGACTTATAAGCCATTGAAAATTATTATTTTATCTTCCGAAGGTTAGATCTAAACGAAGTAAGAGGAATTTCCAAGATTTGTTTTCGTAAATTGTAGGTTTTTAAGTAAGACTAATTATTTAATAAATAAAAATCTGTCAAAGCATACTGTATTTATTCTAAGCGAACATATTGACTCGTTTGAGAACATACTAGATAAACGTAGTAATCTATTTGTAAATGGAGAATCGGGAGGGGGTTCAAAGTATATTATATAATTATGCTAATTGAATCCAGATGGGAAGAAACCGATCAATTATGTTACTGTTGCACAATGTATTCTTCGTAAGTATAATGAAGAGAAATTTACTGATATTTTGGGAAGTAAAGTACTTTGCTGAGAACTCTTCTGCATCAGTTTCCTTAAGTAAAGCTTCATATCTGAAAGGAGCGAAATAAACAGCATGAATAAGAAGTTATCTAAATTAACTACTGATTAAGATGAAGTGGTCTATATCCTATGGCATCATGTATCGTATTTTAACATTCTAATATATGGTTTCAAATAATTCGCGTTGACTAAAAGATCATATTATTTAGCCGGCACACCATACATTTAAACTAGGAATCACTTTGAACATATCTTGCGGCAAGTTGTAGTTTTTTCACCGAACTGTTCTTTGATAGAATGTCATTGGTGCTATTGAGGTAACCGTTGTCGGTGCATGAGTTATAAAGGGAACAATATTTATGCTCAGAAAGTATAAATGACTGGTTGCAACATAGGACTTTGCACAGAAGTGCAGCAGTCTGAGTTACCACATTCCATGTAGCACACAAAGCAAGAGAAAAGGGTAAAGGGAGGTTTAAAAGACATAATAAACAGAAGTGTAAGGGAAAAAGAATAGTTATATGGAAGAACAATAGTGTTATTGGATACAACAAATCACAAAAAGTGAATACATCTGCGCCATTGAGAACGATTTTGAGGCATATCACCGATTGTTTCCAGCCATCGATTCTTATTATCCTGACGACACCAACCAGGAAATCTACACTTCCCGACGTGGCTTAAACTAAGGCATATGGGTTATGGGTTTCATCGACTGATGACATTTGTTGGTTTGGCCTCAGAAAGTGTGTATGACAAGGTAGATTAGTTAACAAAATGATAAGTTGTATTTATGAGTTGTTTTAATATATAATTTCCTATAGTCTTCAAGATTCGAAAAACGCGGTATTAGTTCCTCCGTTTTACGGGGGTCTTAAGATGACAGTTCTGTTTTACCACTTTTATTATACCACTCAGAAACTATGCATTGAAATATAGAGCTTACTGACGAATTTGGCTCAGCGACACACTAGTTACCGATTTCGCTGTATAAGAAATGAATTTCTGAATAGCAAGATGTCGTGCTTATGTGTACACCACCCCTTGGAGGCTGCTGTTACTATGCACTTACGACTTTATGCAAATTGGTGTTCATACAGAGATTTTATTTAGAGGTAGTGTTGTGTTCAGTTATATTCTCATTGGGTTAGTCATCTTACTTAGTGGGTATTTGCTGATATTGTATTGGAGAATATAAATACATATACATGCTAATTAGCTTGCTGAAGTTCATTTTGTTTTAAGGTTTATTTTACAAAGTATTCATTACGCAGGCTTAATCAACATTTTTTGCCTCCATTGTGTTGGTTTATACAAACATTATACGACATATAGATCGGCTATATTTAACCAGATAAGTCAATGAAATTTCTTCCAGATAATTGTTCGCTGATAGGTACTATGTTCTTCAAAACATGTCTTTTGATGAGTCTTTTGCTGTCAGTAGACGCAATCAACGTATAGTGCTGATTATGTTAGTATTCATACATTATGTGTAGCACAGGCTGTGGATTAGCTAATAAGAATATAAACAGGTCTGTCTGTTTTCGACATAGAACTTTGCACCGATGTACGACAGTTCGAGTCGCCACAATATAAACAGGTACTTTAACCATAACAGATCGAGAGCTCACATAATTGGCAAATCATAACAGGAAGAGCCTGAGAGCGAATGCTTATTCAAACGCAATTAAAATATAATCGTAATAGTTACTTTGGGTATGTTAAAACTTTACATGTCGTTCATCCCTCACTCAAGAAATAAAAAAGACAGTCTTACTTCACTGGCACAACGTTTAATCTTAATTGTAATGGAAACTTCCTACATTGCACATAATATTATAATTATAATGTGGACCCTTACAACAGAAATATCTAAAAGGATGTTTAAAAGAATAAAAAAACATTAACTTACACGTCAGAATGTAGTATTTTCTTTTCAGTTATATCATTCAGTAATGACGGTTTGATAGAATCAAATCTATCTCGACAAACAGTATCAAGCATATCATCAACTCCCATCAGGTCTAATACAAATGGTTTACCATAACGTAGAGCACCCAGAAGAGAAATTCTTAGTCTAAAAATTAGTAAAAAAATATGTTGACGATGCGACAATCTGGGATATCTTTGGATTGGGTATAGAAGCTGCGATAAATACTTGTTTCGTGGCCACCATTGGCGATGTGAAAAGTATTCAATTTATCCTATTTAGAATTCATTAATCATATCAGGTGCTAGTGTTTCTACTAGATTTGGCATACAATAGCCAATAAATGCGAATGAAAATTAAAGCAGAAACAGAACTATGGTAAGATTGCAAGATGGAATAATGATCATTAGGTTTTGATTCTCATTTAAGTGTATGCGAAATGTACGGTAAATAAGAACGTGGAATAAAATACTTTAATCACGCACTTGTGGATTTTCAATCACGAAAAATGCAAGGTCCATATGAAAAATCATCTGCAACCAAACAAGTTGAACAATGAAATGAGTGATCGGCAGGGCGATACAGACCTAGGCTTACAGCCTGTTGGCACACATTGACACTTACTTACTTTACTTCGGCTATCTCCTACGGGAGGATGAACCGGCTTCATGAACATCTCGAATGTTTGTAAGAGAGTTGATGAAGTTTCATGGGAATTGGGTACGAGTGATGTCCCCAGCATCGCTCGGCCTTTTGTTTGAGAGTACAGCTCTAGCCTTTACACAACCAAGTGTGACCTACAAGGCAGTAGGAGTGGAGTAGGGAGTCCACTATCCATTGGAAGCCGGTGACCGGAGTCCGGTTCATACGCCTTTTTGAATGGGGCCAGGCATCCAGGGCATCCAATAAGCCCTTTGTCCATACATCTGCCGGTGAACTCCGATGAGTTTCATACGCCAGTCGTTGAAGGTTTGGAATCAGGGTTTAGCCATCTCCCCTAGACTGTCATCCAATGGACAGTCAACCCGGTGAAGAGCGCCGGGCATCCGCTTTTGCCCTCTCACTTCGGTGAAATAAACACTTCCGCCACGTGAAGGCAGTGAGTAGGACTTCCTCAGGAGAGGCTATGTAAGACGCACGGTCATATGGGAGCATTTCAAGAGGTGTACGGAGGGGTGGCTAACCCGCAGCGCGAGACACCCACCCCCGACCATCCTGAGGCTTTGGAGGCACACATTGACAGGACATATAATTCTCGTTAAGAAGTGACCAACTTTCAACCATTTCCTTAGGTATTCGCAGTGTGCAGAAAGTAGTCGGTCAGTTAACAAATATTTCAAATAATTTAACTTTGAGTTAAAACAATACAGTGTGACTTCTGAAGAGGTAAATGTCAAAGGGGTGATCATTTCTATGTAATCAACAAGCGCCATTTGTTGGTGCTTGTTGTTGTTGTCTGTCGACTAATCTTGTAAGTAAGAATAAAGTGTTCTTACCTATCCATTAACTAGGCCTATGATCTGATAACTTCCAATTTAAAATAAAAGTCAATTACAAAAATTCTCGTATGTAAAAAGCAATTAACTAAACTAATTTGTATGAATAAGAATCAGCAATAAGGATAAAACTACTAATATCTGCATAACATTAACGTCCACTTACCTTTCTTTATCTAGATTATTAGGATTTAATACATTGACATAATTTGTATCCCTGTGACGTAGAAACACACTGACTCTGTCACTTGGATCTATTATTACTGGCCATCTAAAAATGATTTAGTTTTTTATCTTTTAATTCCACTGAATCAATCGATTTACTTATCTGATTCATTTATACGGTTGCCAATATCTTTGAATAAGATATCATCTAATTCACCAATTTTACAATGGATACCAGGTTTACAGTTGTCTTCATTATTCATTTTTACTGAATATGACAAAAAACATATATATATATATATATATATATATATATATATATATATATATATATATTAGGCTGCTATAACTTTCCTCTTTCTTTTAGTGTGATGTAATCGGCTCAGAAATCACATTAATACCAAGGTCTCTGACATACACACTTACACCCCTGTTGCCTGGATACTGTAAGTGCTGTCTAGTTATCCAAACCCTGAAAGGCACAGTAACGTTTTTATTCGTATTCTAATGTATTAATCGAATCTGGTTAGATGTTTTCAGTTGGTGAAGCTATAAAATGTTTCTTTGCCAGGTCACTTCGTTTATTCAAACAGAGGTGTGTAGCCATTCATGATCAAGTGTCATAAAAAGTATTTGTATAGAAGTACATTGTACTTAATCTTTCTATGTAAACTATTAAACAGTGTATATTTGACAGCTTTTCCCATAAACTGATTTGTTAGTTAAAGACACTTATTTCCTGATTGGGGATTAATGGTTAATGACAACGGTGAATTATCTTTGCATTGAGTTTTAATGCATTGGCTGAATGGCTGTCACGAAGTCAGACTTTCTAAGTATTTTGGAGATATGTTTGTGAATGAGGACGCGAATATTTTGTTGTAACACGTGGAGATTTATTTGGCTGGCAGATATTTTACTATCATACTAGATGTTATTACTACAACTTCATATGGACAGGAAGTAATTCGCTTTCCATTGGATATTTATATTCGGTTATTTCCCATTCAAGTTATTCAGAAGAATGTAATTTTGTCGACAATTTAAAATTTGTCTCAAATTTCGTAGTCAGAAATCTAATAAAGAAACTAGCTGATAGTGACCATCATTTTCTTCGGGACTTCAATTTTACGATACTTTTCCCAAGTTAAAATTCTGACAAGATTATATCAGTGCTCTTTTTTATTCTGGAAACATGTAGAACACCATCAAGAGTGTGCACTGGTAAAGAGTCCTAAACTAGGACGAAACGGTTGTCTAATAATTCCTGGTTTTCAGTGAGTCTCTTAATGATGTCACTTCGTGATCTAACTTTTAACTATGGAATTACTGAAAACAGCAATTATCAGCAAACAATCTAAAACTGTTTGGTCCTTACTACAGTATTCATAATTTTACCATTAATGTAAACCATGACCCAGCTTACGAAGCGACCTTATTACCCTCTTGGTAGCTGTATATATATATATATATATATATATATATATATATATATATATATATATATGGTGGTCTCTCTTTCTGTTGCTCTCTTAGTCTGTGACCGTTTCACTTTGATGAACCTGTCTCCTTTAACAATGTATATTCCCCTTATATTATATATAATATGTGTGTTTGTTTGACATGTCTGTTATATCTTGCTATGTATATATGGATCGATATTCCATTTCAATTAGCCAATCACGTTAAGACTGTCTATTGATTTGTTCACTTTGAATACTCGGTCACACACTTGTTCGGACTTTCATATATTTTGCTCTCACACTCTTGTGTGACATATTGATTCTCCTGGTGTTTTGGAAAATAGAAGTATCATCGCAACCCTAGTGGTCTTCTGATTTCCGTCTTTCTTGAGTCAGGACTATTAAATTCTCGACCAGTACATAACAATAATTTGGCGACGAGTACATAATAGTAGCTGAGTTAGAATTCAGTAAACTACGAATGCTACCGATGCACTGTACACAGTCACATAACAGCAGTGTTATTACCCGGGACATGTTAAGACTATTACCTTTATGATATCTGACAGACCATGTAAGTATAAAAGATAAGGTTTGTTTTTGAACAGTATTTCAGGAGTCGATACAACTTTTCATTAAATGTTTGTTTTATTGTACTACTTAGGGCTGAAATAAATAAACAGATTAATTGAAAAAAGATTTCTTTTAGCCTAATATCTAATGTTTTTAACATTAGTATTACTTAGTATTAAGAAGAATTAACTATTTAAGAATGGTATTTAAGGAAAAACCAAAACTGACACAAATAATTAGAAAAAGTTCAACAGGTCCTGTTACTTACCTTCATCTTGTTTATTTCTTAATTCAAGTTTAGACTGTAAAAGCTTTTCGCGAATTTTTTCCACCTCTAACTTTCTTGATTCAAAAGTTAGTTCAGAGTCGATTATTAGCTGTAAACAAATTGAAGTAGAGAAAATATAGTATATAAGCACTATAAGTAAGCAATTGTATATTTATACTGTAAGTTTGTTTGTTATAATTATTCACTTGTGAAGAACAGACTGACGTAATATACATCAAACAGAACCATTGGGTAATAACTAGTTTTCTTTTTCATTCTGTCGTAATGTTCATCAATTGTACACACTCATATGCCTACAGTTTGAAATGAAAGATATCTTTAAAAAAAACAGCCATCCTCAACAATTCACTTAAATGAATAATGAATCGACGGATCGTAAACGACCGAATTTTCAATACATTTTAAAAAGTTCTGTCAAAACTCTATGGTTGATGATGAAACTATCTGGGATAATTGTGGGTTGGTAGACTGTTATCAATGTAATGGGTGATGACTGAATGTGAAATGAAAATATAGGCGTCATCTGGAATGGAGTCAAAAACTTCTGAAATTACCAGTCTAGCAATACAAGAGTTAGACTAGAAGACTGAAGTGCTAACCAGATTATCATTTCACTACACTCCTACAGTGATTCAGATTTTCAGTTCTGTTCACCACCTATTATATCCAAAGGTTGTAATTACTAGGGTTGACTTCTTCGGAAACAGGGATATAAATGCAGAGGTAATAAATGACATTTTACATACATCAAATTAAATGAGATAGAAAGTAAGTGTGTACAGCTGACCAATATTAAGGACTCTGAAAAACTTGAGCATCCTGTTTTTAGTTCTCGCAGTACAACTCATGTGTATAATTGGTGAAATGCTTGTCAACTACTGCCTATTATCTTACCGAGGAAACTTTTTCATTGTCATTCAGATGAAAATTTCTAACCCAATACAATGATGATAGGTATTTGATATTGCTGCATGGTGGCGTGGTTTTTCATATTTGAATGTGGCTAAGTAATAAACATTTATGGCTCAAGTTTTGACAATTAAATTACGTGTGTCTTTATAGCACATCCTGGCTAATTGTAGCATCGTACCCCGTTGTTATGGTGGTTTAATGACAAGTTACATTTTTTATATTATTTCTAAATAAAATGTTACATTAAAAAATTATTTTCTGAAGCAATTATTATCTGTGGCATTATTTTCTTGAAATGCTTTACATTTGCTGCACTTTTATCAGAAAATCTCGCTTGATGTTAATATCTGTGCAATTTAATGGATTTAAGGAGGTAGAAAGTTCATAAGTTAAATGTATATTATTAAGTTTTCATGAAATCATGCTGGTATACTTTGACCTATTTATTGAAATGCCTTAATACCCACCAGATGAAGGTGGCACCACTTTAAGAAAGGGGTATGACACATAATCACCCTTAAATTACTCCAAAATTTTTAATTTTCATAGACAGGGCTATAAAAAGTACCTTAGTTTCATTACTTCATTACTCTTACTACTTATGCCAATAAATTGAGAGCCGCCAACTGATGCAGTGTTGGAATAATTAACGTAAATCTTGTATCAGGTAAGCGGTATTTTTTACGCAGCTGACTACCATGATACTGTCAGAGGTGTTATTCCGCGATATGAAGTTTGGAAATGTCTTACATTTTTAAATAACTGCGTAGATAGAGTAACTAATTTAATAAGTTTCATACATAATTGGTAAATTACTTACACTTTGTAGTAAATTTATATTCTCATAACCATTCGCTGCTGCATGATCATATTCTTTAATGCGTCTGTTTAATTCTTCATGAGCTTTACACACCTGACAAAAAGTAGCCTGTATGTTTTAATCACATCTTTTGCGAAAAATAACGTTTTACATTAAGATAATTATATGTAGGGAATCCTTTTTTTATTTCACCGTTCATAATTAATTTTAACTTCTTAAAAGTACTCCTGTCATTCTATCTAAGGGAAGACAAATAGTATTGAATTAATCGTTGCACACTTTTTGGTATGTGCTAATTGTGAGTAGGCATAAATAGCATATCGGGTGATGTTTTCAAGGGAGTAGTAATCATTTGTATGTCATTGCAAAGGTCAATGAAGAAGAAACCCGAGAAGGAGGTAACAACAGTGAAAGAAAGATAGTATAATTATTATTTTCAAATTTCACCGTCAGTGTGTTAACCTATTCGCCGAAGTAATTTTAAGAATTGTAGTAACTTGCGTGGATATATGTTTAAACAGGTTCATATTGTGATAATGGTTTTTCCTCTCACTGTATTCAAATAAATATCTGGAAATGATAATGACTGAAGACAATGAGTTTTACTTGAAATATCGCTGCTAATCATACAGTATTAATGCGTTACACAAAAATAAATTGACCTATTGTGGATTTATATTTTACGAAACTGTATATGTCTTACAAAGAACCTATTGCCCAACAAATATGCAGAAGGAAATGCAAACGGATTGGACATGTGCTGAGTGATATCATGCGCCTGACCCTACAGTGTTGCCTGAGTGGGAGACCACAAGTTGGACATCTGAGAGTGAAGTGGAGGAGATTGTGTGAAGAGGAGATGAAAACTTATGGGCAGTCATGGAGCCAACTAAAAAGTGCCACAGAGAACCAAGTGAAATGGAGATGTGCTATTGAAGCTTTATGCTTCGCTCAGAAACCAAGGGAATAATAGTAACATCATACCTCAGTTTTCCGGTCTGAAGAAAGTCCGAAGAACACTTTTTTCATGCTGTACTATTATTAGTAATTAACTATGATGCAACTTTATAAGTAAGCAAATTGGTCAAAGTATTCAGTCATTTCACTTGATAATATTTAAATAAATTCCAACGAACAACCACTGTGTGACAGTATTTTACGTTTAACTAAAGCAAAATACTTACCAAGAACTTCTGAATTTTCCCTTTCAAATTGTGGACAACATTATACTTTTTAGTATCTTTACCTAACACAACTAAATTTTATGGATTACCCAGCCTGGATATTTATCAGCATCCTCGACATACAGAATGAATATATATATATATATATATATATATATATATATATATGACCTGGACAGAGAAGAGTTTGAATTTCCATCAGGTTATGCTGTTTGTCGACATTTAAGAGTATATGCGATGCTCTTCAGTAAGTAAATAATGTTGTAGTGAGCAAATTTACACCCTAAAAAGTCGACTTACAATAATCTCTAAGCTTTTAGTTCATATTATGACTGGAAATTATAAAGGTCTTACTCGAAGTTGAGCTGCATGATATGACTTCTCAATTGCATCAACGTTTGACTGTAGCCTAATTAAATAAAAGAAACAGAAATATATACATATATATATTTTTTCTGTTTAGCTTAGCAGTTTTAAATACTCACTCAGTTCTGTAAAAAATCCTTCATTTCCAGTCGACATTCTGATGACAGCAATTATAATAATAAATAGTGTTACTCAACCACTATCTGAAGGCTTTTCTACATACTAGGTTATAAGCTACACTCATTGTGTGGTTGCTCATTTCAGATTAAGCAGATAAGGATTTGCACGTCATACGCATCTATTGGAAATCATGTGAGCTAATTTATCCAAATACATTACGGTAGACGTGCCTGATTGTAGTTCACTCATAATTCAGTTCTATCTGTAAGTTTATGTTATTGCAAGCTCACTGATGTAGTGAAACGATTTCATGGTATAGTGAGTTATGGATATCCTATTTATCAATTTTCATTAGAGTCTTTATGCTAAAGTATACTCCCATTGTTATTCAATAATCTACTATCTAATTTTTGATGAAAACAATATTGTTCAATCCTTTAGAAATGCTTATTCTGAACTACACTCTAATACTTACTTCTTTAAAGTAGCTTGTTCACCCTTTTCGTATATTTGCATAGTGTGTGTTTTGTAAGTATTAATTTGTTTCAACAATCTATCTGTTTCACTGATATCCCATGTTTCTAGTAGTTGTCGAATATTTTTATCTGTAGTTACCTAAATACACCAACAAAACGGAAACAGAAGGAAGTTATCAGTTATTCGTAGACTAAAAGATGGATTATATATATATATATATATATATATATATATATATATATATATATATATATATATATATATATATACATATGTAATATTACACATACTTCTATGGGTCGCTGTCCATCATCGGCATAAAGACGCGGATCAGCACCATGATTCAGAAGAATCTAAAAAGTAAAGTAAAACCGTTATAGGACATTTATTCACAACTTTTACAATATCTAGGTGGGATCCAAACGCTGCTCGATACAAGGGAGTTCGTCCAAACTGTCCACGAGAATTTACGTCGGCGCCATTATCAAGGAGCAGCTGTACAATATCAATATTGCCTCCAACTAGAAATGAAAAATATTACAAATTGATTACTATCACTCTACTGCAAGCTTCAGAAAGCACAGAATTATGATTTGCATCTTTACATTCAATCAGTTGCATTTTGCATCTTAGGCGTATTGACTCATCTATTTCCAAGCATCCACTCTCATTATAACCATTTTCTTCACACACCTTGAATTTTTGATAAAAAGGTAAATATAATTTCGATCACCTCTCTTAGTAGTTGTTTCATTTCAAGCTCACGACCTTCAAATGCACATTCGAGCATCGTTTTTTGTCGCAGTAGAAGTAGACGTTTTTGTCTTTCTTCTTCCTCTTCTAATTTCCGTTTTCGTTCTTGCTCTTCTCTAAAGGCTTTGACGCTTTGAAGGTAAGCCATTTGTCTTAGTTTCTCAATTTCAGATTCACAATGTTTCTTAAATTTACGAGTAGTTATATGATAACAGAAAACTTTCGGTAGTACCTTTTGTGCTTTCATTTTAACAACCATTTTATAAGCTAAGAAGCGACGTATATATTTCTGGAGAGTAATTACTGCATTCAACATGTGTGGATCCTTTTCACTAATTTGGTCTTTATTCCCTTGTTCAGCAGTGGTCATAAGATGAGCTAAAATCAAAATGAAGCGGAGTATATGAAGATGTAGGAGAATGAAGTAGTTATAATATAGTAAATTTTTAAATTAATTTTTAAAAGAAGCGTATTTGATTTTAAGGCTATCAAAACAACTAATATTTTTTTTCGGTAAAGTTAATGCTATAGGGCTTTCTAACTGATATCATTTATAGGTACAACGTTTTCTTTCTTTCTTTTCCTTTTCTCTGTCTCTTTTTTCTGTTATATGCTGCTTTGTTTCTTTTTTCTGCTTATCCCGGTAAATATGCTAGCATCTACTTTTCTAACACCTTCAAACACTCTATTCAATTTTTGGCCTTGCTACCGACATGCCAATATGTTGTTGTCATAATGAACTGAAATTTCCTTAATCTGTGTAGAATTTTATTTATTGATAATGTACTAACTGGATGCAATACTGTTGTAAAATGCTAAGAATTACATTCTGTATCACAAGTACTGTTTTGGAATAAAGCGAATTATTATTATTATTAATCAGTTATTGATTAGATATCTTTCAGATTGATTAACAAGCAGCAGAAAAATGAGCAGAAACTGGATTTCTTAACATTTACATTATTCTAAATAGTCACAATTCTAAAAAACTTAGTACTAAGATTTTGGCTCTTTGGGTATCTAACTGACTTCAAGTTATATTTTGCCATAAGTTAATATTAATTATAGAACAGATGAAAACTAGATAGTATTGGAAATTATGGAGATAAACCTCGCTGAGTTATGATGAGGAATTATAACCGATAGGGTCCATCAAGTCAACTGTAGGAAAAGTTACTCATCAATATTCTTGGAGGGCGGTGTCATTTTATGGCGAGTTGACATAAAGCAGAGATCCCGGGCTTTTGGAATGCAACCCAGTGGTGGTGTGTTCATCTCATCCTGAAGGTCGAAAGTTAGATCCGTGATATGATCATAAGTATGCACAGTCAGAGGGTTTGACCTACCATAGAACAGTTGTCTGATACTTTCTGGTTTTCAGTAATTGTCTGGGTACTACAAGTATTTAACAAGATCATATTTAATAAACATTTAGTGGTATTAAAGCGAATAACCTACTGAAGGGTTACTTCATTCGCGGAACAATGATGCACTTAACCTCATTACGATTAATTCCTTAAGTTTCGAGGTTTTAGCTTTATTACCTTCCTACAAAATCCATATAAACATCCAACAAACCTACGGTTTCATCACTTTTTTAATTTTACTTTAGCTTTCTCTGGATTAGCGTGACTTCAATTATCCCTAAAAGTCAAAGAAATTTGCCGAAATTTAAACAACAGTTTGATTTGTCTGTCTTTCAGTATCTTATTTCTTCATGTGGAAAATTCCTTTGTTCATTCTCCTTTACAGTGTCAACCAGAAGCTTTCTAAATCTCGTTAAGAGATATTCACACTACATTAATTGCAGATCCACCCATTCATAGATGTTTTAAAATAAATCAGTGCTACTCATGTCTGTCAATCTGATTAGGATGTAACTAGTAAACCAAGTATAACACAGATTTATACCGAATTGTTAACATTCAATAACCCAAAAATGTGCTCTATTAGTTTATCACATTATATTCTCAGCTGTTGAAGTTGAACAAGTAAATTCTTATTAGGTAAATTCATTGTAACATAATAAAATAAAGTATAACTTAAAACGAGAGAGTAATTCGTTTTTCCATACTGAATTATGCTTATCTGTTTATCTTATTTGTGAACTGAAAATCATATTCTCTGAAAACATTTCGAGAATTCCGATAAAGACCTATAAACTGAGATAAACAAACTAAGCATTATTATTATACTGAACTCCCTTAAAATGACTGAAGATAGGACCTTAGATAGTCAAGCTAAAATATGCATAAAAGTACAAACCAGATACAATTTTTTCTTATGGACACAAAAGTCTCTCAGTAAACCTAAGAAGCAGGATTATTTTTAGTGCTGAATATTTGCAACATTTTCATTCGCTTTTTCTAAGTTGGTGATCCAGATCAGATCTTTCATGTGCTGGGATATAAGCCACACTTATCATACGAGAGCTGATGATACTATCCAGTTACCCATGATGAGTTAGGTGAAGAGAGATTCTAACTCATTACCCATTGGATAAAAGCCGAGTGCTTAAGACGGTGAGCCAGATTTTTACTTATCATTCTAATTACAGCTCACAGTCGTTCATCAGCAGTATATGCTGATGATATTGGAAAGATTGTTACTTCAAATACTTTAAAATTATGGATGGTTTATTAAAAATTCATGTGTATTTAGGTATGGTGTGTTTAAGTTATGACAAGTAGCCAAAGCTTGACATCACGTAAACTGATGAATAACTACAAATATCACTTTGAGGCGATTGAGGTTATGTTATACAGTGCCTTTGAATTCCAGGGCTTCATTTAATACAGTTATTACCCAGGATGTCCCACACGTGACAGTCACTAATCTGTAAATTATCAGTCAAAGGTGATGGACTAATCTAAAATCCTATAAATTTGATGAGTTACTGAAATAAAAGGCACTGGAAACATTTATCGTAGTCTACTCTTTTAAAGCAAAAGGAAAAGTTTCTGAAAAATAGTAATCTTAACATCTTTGACTCAGTGGCATTACCTTCATAAGCAAAAATGTGGTATTTAGACTCTGCAAAGATATTTAACATAAGTGAGAAGTGAGTACGCAAACAACAGCCGTGAAACACACTAAATAAAATAGGGAGTTATTAAATCACCAGGAGAAACTAAGCACATGCTTAAACCTGAATTCAAGTCGAAAAAAATTTACTAAAAGTAAAATGTAAGATTAAGATAAATAAACTTGATAGTTTCACTGAAGTGTGGACAGATAATTGAAACCCACTTTCACACATACATTTACCTAACTAACCGTGAACTGTTTAATTTAATAAATCATTCCTTACTCTAGCTCCATTACGTGGATGGTTTTGGAATTTGTTAGTGACATTTGCTTCTCAGTGTCTAACTTTATAAAATCTGATACGTGATTTCCAGAGTAAACCAGCGGTCTTTTTGCTGACCACTCAGTTGTGTAAATAACGATACTAGATCCAGCTAAACGCAGTAATTTCCAACGAATCTTTCCTTCACAGCTTTAGCATTAAATTCGATTAGGACTTAGTGGCTTAAGTTTTACCGCTAGGTATCATGGTACCTACTTTGTCCAGAAAGAAAGTGGGGTGGTTCGTTTTTCACAATACACCGCCTACATGATAATGGAAGCAGTGTGCTACGGATGTCACCATTTTTCATTTCATCTGTCCCTTGCCATTTTCGTAATACAGTCGTGTCACTGAAATGATGTTTTTATGAGAAATAATCTGAAATAATCTAAATCAAAGACAATGTAATCGGTAGAATACTCTCTTTTACTGACTTTCTTTTACTATAGCCGATGCAGCAGAATTTAAGCATACCAGTCATTTCAGAATAATTCTGAAATACTACTGATGATCCACAATTGCACAAATTTATCTTTTCCATCGGCTGTCTCTCAACACGGAACTAATAAAACACACCTTTATAGGACTGTGAGGGGATTTTGATGGACATTATTCATTCAAAATAACTCTACTAGTCAGTATGTAAGGTGGTCTAAGTCAATTATACAAATTCATTCGATCGGTGACTTGTTTGGACCGCTACTCTGCAAGTGTACCCAGAACAAGGCTACATAAAAATGGTCAGGACTAAACCTGCTGGTTTACAGATGACCTATGATACCGATAGTCATTTACTGAGGCGTTCTTCTCATGAAAAATAAAAATAGTATGCTTTTAATGAATTATGTACCAGTCTCTTGAAAATTCATTCAGTTGTGCGAGTGACCTATAAATCAACTCTTAATTAGCTTGATTGCGAAGACATCGTCACATATCACTGTTAAAATCAACTGGAATAGTCAAGTGGCAAAAATCCAGGTGGACATAACTTGTTATTATCACCACCTAAACACAAAAAGTAGCTTTAGCTTAACGCCTTCTTCGCCTCTCCATTTGTTTTGTTTCACATTTGCAGCTACCGTATCCAGGGGTAAATAAATACTCATAAGCCACAGAAAGAAAGGAAGACACGCAAAAGGAAGTGTATCAGCAGAACCATATATATATATATATATCATGAGACGATGCTAACTAAAGCAACAAGTTTACTCAAATAAATAATCAGTAAGAACAGCAGAAAATGAAAGGAATTCTAAAAGTCTATTTTCAGAAATATTACGGGGGGAATAGTATACAAGTTGGCGAAAAACAAGAGTTTGTAGACAGCAAACATAATAGAGGTCTGTACAGTTGATGTTCTGATATATTTCTTAAGACTGTAATCCAGTACCTCTGCGTATGAAGAATACTATTATCATCCTTATATCCATCACATATTATAGTGAAAGAGGAGGAAAGTTTTTGGGAGAACAACAACACAAGTAGTCGAAAATCTGGGGTAAAGGTACAGGGCAGACCGAAAACATGCATGCAGTGTTACTTCTGAATGCACTATAATTCAGATATGTGGAATACTCCTGGAGTTTTAAGTCATTCAGTTGCTTGGGTTACCATATTTTACTCTAACCACGTTTTCGTATAAATATTCTTCGCTAGACTTTTTCAGCAGATAAATTCTTATAATATAGTACCGTTAATTAGGCATTAATGTTTCACTAGTTTTGCATTTATAAACGGCATTTTTGTAAAGCTTTATAGAAATTTCCATAAAGCCGAAACTTTGGGTAATGCAAAATTAATCCTCTCAAGTGCTGAACTAACGCTCTTCTCTATAGTGAGTAAATTCTGAAATGATTCTCAGAGATTTGATATTCCGCACAAGATAGCATTCTGTGGTGTTTTTCGCTCTATCCACATTAGTCCAGTGATTGCTGGCATTTTCTTAGTTAGCTTTCAGGGAAATCTCTCATATCTGACGAAAACTCCTACAGCAAGAGAAAGCTGCGTAAAGTCAAGGGGCGACGGAAGATCTGTCGACATAGTTGTCACCTAAGTCTCTGACAAAGTACGTCACACAATACTGTTTATGATATTAAAATGTCTTGGAATCAGGTGTGCCTTACTAAACTGGGTTAAAAAATTTCTCACAGATAGGGTAATGAGAATTAGGATCAACTAAAAACTCTTCTACTTGGCAATAACACGCCATCGAGTGCCACGAGAGACTATGCTCGTACCCTCTTATATATTTTGTGTATCAACAAGTTAGCTGTGTTCACCGAATCTCCCATGGTCCTCTCTGAAGATGGCTTAAAGATTTAGAGAGATGAAAGACAATAATGACACACTGACGTTGCAAGTTTCCCGACCAACTTAGTGAAATGAGTAACCATGAGCACTGAACCCCTAGGCGCCAACTTTAACAAACTAGGAGGAATAATACTCCAATTAAATTAGACTCATATGCATCGTGATATCACGGCTTAAAAGTTGCTGCAAATTGTCGTTCGGTAGCTGCTCGTAGTTTCCGATCCTTGTGATCAATACTCAAGGCGTTTACTACTATCATCACAGATATGTTTACATCTTGATATATATATCTCGGATGCGGTCGAGACTGGAAAACTGTATCCAGGTAGCTAGTCCTTGTATTAAGGGGAACTTACAAAGTCTATAGCGGGTTCAAAGGAAGGCAGAACGTGTGACTCTTGACATGACCAATTTATCGTATTTTGAAAGACTCGAAATTTCGAATCTGTTCTTGTCATACCGTAGGCACAGAGGAAACCTGATTACAATGCTTAAAATTTTAAATCATCACTACGGTCCTGATCTATTTTCTCTCTCACTTAGCACCATGTAGGAACACCTTAGTGAATATAGTGGGAGAGTTCAAAAGCCAAGAGGAAATCATATTGCTGTTGAGTACTGGTTCTCACACCAAGTCATAAACAACTGGAACAGACTCACAGAAGTAGCACCAGCTCTCTCAGTTGACTCATTCAAGGAGGATTTAGACAACAATAGAAATTTCCCAGCAAAAGATTAACACAGGTCTTGGGCTTTCTACCCTAGTTCGAACTATTTCAGATATTTTAGCACCGATTCAAAACTGATCAGTTCTAGTCGGCTAGCATGATTTCAATACAGTCAGCCTTAGTTCATAGTCCAGTGGGATTATCAAGCATTTCTCATACTACTTCAGCACATATTAGGTGGTTTTAAGACCTCAAAAACTCGTTTAGCACTAGACCATATTAAAGGCACATGGCCCAAAGTTATATAACTTATATAAATCTTACTATTTCCCCATTTTGTCCCCATTTTTCCTCAATGCAATGTCCCCATTTTGTCCCCATTTTAGACACGATTTTCCCCATTTTTGTCGATTTGGGATGCTACGCTATTTCAGGTTTACTGGTTGAGGATAGAAGGCTTGGAGCCCATGTTAATCTTCTTCTAGTAAATTTCTGTAGTTGTCCAAACCCTTCTTGAACGAATCAGTTGAGGTTGCAGACACCACTTCTCCTGGGAATCGGTTCCAAGAGTTTGTGACTCGGTGTGAAAACCAGTACTCAACAGCAATATGATTTCTTCTTGGCTTTTGAACACTCCTGCTATGTCCTCTAAGGTGTTCCGATCTGGTGGAAGGAAAAGAGAGAATAAGTCAGGTCCGTAGTTATTATTTAAAATTTTAAACATTGTGATTAAATCTCCTCCCTGCCTACGATATGACAGGGAGATGAGATTTAAACCGCCTATTCTTTCCTCGTATGATAAGTTAGCCATCCCGTGAACTATACGTGTTGCCTTCCTTTGAACCCTTTCGAAAAGGTTCTCCGATCGGGAATGCACATAGGCTAAGTGGGCGAAACGCGCAATTTTGATAGGCGAAGACGTGAAAAATTTGGGTAAAATGCAGCATAATTTACCCACTTTGCCCCTGTTCACCTTTGTAGCGAAAAATGTTCAAGTCTCACTTTTTCCGATTTAATCCACCTTTTCGACGAAAAATTATGATACAGAGAAATTAATCTGAAATTAAAAACTGGATTTGCGCTGAACTTCCTATTTAGTTTAAATGTGGGCTGATGCACACCGATGTAATGCAAAGCAGCTTCTATCAATTACATCGCTATGTTACATTTAAATTCTAAAACCGATCAAATTGTAAAAGAACTAATACATAAACTTCACACTTATTTTAGGAATGACATTCTAGATTCCGAATAGTGTAAATATGTACCTTTATGTTGCTTGAAAACTCCAATGCCTTTCGTATCAAGTTTCCGTGGTGACATATTAAAGTATTTGAAATATTGGCAAACACAATCCAATATCCAATGTAATTCAGAAGCCACCTCAGACCAACCTGAATTTTTTTGGCCTTACTTTCGGTTTCAGGGTGAAACTTTCTGATCTCTGGAAAGATTCCGCCATTCGCTGCTGTTTCTTACTGTTGACTCCAACATCGTTTTGAGGAATTCGTTTAATCCTTATGCTATCATGGAAATCGCTTCTTGTTGTTACAGGAGGACTCTAGCTCCTACCAGTGCAATATGAGCCGTCTCATGATGCAATAATGGGAATTAGTAGTAGTCTTTGAAGTGCTTCGGTGGCACAGTGGTTACGACTCTCGCCGACCATGCACATGGTCCAGGGTTCGAGCCCACGCCGGCGCACACCTGATATCTATGGTCGGCCTGCAAAATTTGGGCTACCGATATCCATGCTGAAAATTCCATACTTGTACCAAAAATACGGTGTAGAATCAAGCTGTAAATCAAAAAAAGTAGAAGTGTACGATTCTACCCGGGTAGTGGTCCGGTTAGGTCTCCCAAATTATCCTCCTGTTAGGTCAACAAGCATTTCGGAGAAAGAGGTGCCAGACGAGACGGATGCAGAAAAAGGAGGGACGGGTGTATGACAAACGACTGTAGCAGCACCTTTACACATCAAGGAAACAGGGGTAAAAGAGAAAGTAAGGGACAGTGAGATTATGAAGAACTATAGAACAATAAAGGTGTAAATGAAATTGATTGATGTGTTTGTAGCAGCAGTGTATATCTCTTAGGAGTCTGACGTATCAACCTTTGCGAATTGTACGGAGTATACTAACGCAAGATCTTATACCAACAACTTCTATAGTATTCGTTTCTCGTGTACTAAAGGCAAATCAAAAGACCAGAGTTGATCGTCCACACTACGAGACATATTTCGGGACCAAATCTTAGATAGAGATGAATGCTTAGCTGGCTAGTGATCGCACACGAACGTGATACGATGGAGTACCAAATGGCATGGATGATTAACTGGAATTCTTCAGCTAAACTAGTCGACTTGAACAGTGAGGGTGAGCATCTAATGTTCAGTGGTGATTGTTGTGGTCAATAATTTTGGGGAATTATTTACCGCTGCAGCTCACTTCCCACTAATGGGATTGTGGGGACCCTGGGACAGAACCAGCCAGAAGTAAAAAACTCGATGGTTCCCTGGGTGAAAAAACTTCCGAGAGGCTTGGTGGAGTGCCTACTGGTCAGTCTATCTATGCTATTAGGGTTTTTGTACGTCACTTCGGTGATGTTTTTCTGTTGGGTCTCGTGCTTCGTTTGTTTCTTGTCCTGTGCCCGTCGCACCTGGAAAAGAAAACAAGAATGTTTAGGACCTTGTTGAGGAAAATGTTTAAATGAGCGTTTAAAAAATGATGTGCATCTACCATACAGTAAAATAATACAAGGTTTAGAACGTCGATAAATGTATACATCTAATTTTTAATGCATGTAACATGTACGGTTATTGAAAAAAATTATTACTTGTGCTTAGTGATGCTATATAAAAAACTGATGTGTCTTGAAAGAAAAAAATAATTAATACCACAAACAAATGAGTTGGGTGAGTCGCACAACTTAGTTATGTGGTATAGGTGCGAAGATATTCTGGGAATCTTACGTTACGTCCAGAACGCGTTTTCTTAGAGGGCTCGACAGATGGTTCGGTGGTTTTCGCCGCGCTAGTGAGTTCTTTGAGGATTGAAGGATATTCGATTACTTGTAGATTGTTGGATACGCTCAGCTGTAGGCTAATAGGATTACCTTCTAAGTAAGCCGTTTTCAGACGGTCAATGCTGAAGTGTCTTCGTCGCCTTTTTTTGTCTAAGACAAAGAATTTATCCATACGTTTAATGACTTTGTGTGTTCCGTCGTGTGAGGGTTCCACACGTCAAAGCGCAGAGTCACAACGAACAAAAACATGTGAAGAAGTTTTTAATCAGGGGGAAGAAAAGTGCCAAGTAGGCTTTTGGTGTGTCTTATTATTTTGCACTTCTGACATGCTAAGCACGTATGTGCCCATTCCCTCATTCCTTAATGATACGGGGCCACCAAAACTGACTAGTTACGAGCCTGACGGTATTTCGAATACCTGGGTGGAATAAAGCACGCAACGTATTGAAGACGTTACGGCGATTACTTTTAGGCACGATGGGTCGAGGAATACTCATGGAAACGTCGCATAGAATAGTGTGTTTTCCCATACTTTACTATATCTTTAATGAATGATTCTTCCGGATTCTCTCTGGTACAAAGTGCATTACTATTATGACAGTACGTCTCGAATCGAATGCGCCAGGCCATTCATCACTTCGAACGCCGTGGTAAGGTTGACTCGGATTCTAAGAAGTTCGATGATGTATAGCAATGGATGACGTTGTTGGCGACAGTTTTGGTATTGTTCTTCGAATGTTTTCTCGAGAATGCTGGTGCTGTGACACTGTGCACTTCTGAATGTGGCCACACATCTACTTTGCATGACCTCACAAAATTTTGAGTGTAGGTACTTCTGAATACCTACGGATATAGTAGATTGCTTCAATATTTTGTCTGCGTCTTCGTATAGCTTGTACCTGAATCTTATATAGCCTTAGTTGAGGGTGTAGGAACGAATAGGTGCACGGAAAATCCTATCTCCACATTATTGGTGTTGAACACTAACCCAGTGTCATTGGCTCAGTCCTCCAGATTGGTCAGCTTAGTCGAATCTTTCATGTTTCTTATTGTCCTCCACAGTTTTGTTTATTGAAAACAGAGAAGCGACAGTGACCCTAAACAATTGCTGAATTCAATTTGCAACAGGGTGAATACTAGTGGAGCTAGAACTGGCTGTCCCGATACTCCAGCGTTTTTTTTTCAAACAGATAACACTGCATTCCCAGCTATCTCCCCTATAGGTAGGCTGATAGGCAAGTCACCAGCCGTTTATCGGTTCCTGTTTTTGAGACTTCTCATGGTCGGATTTCATGCAGAGTCAATTCTAAGGCATTGGAAAGGTCTTGTCACAAGAGGGTAGGCAGAAATACCCTGGTTTCAGTGCGCTATCCAAACTACCTGCAGTTTGTTAGTGCAGTACTTTTCCTTCTTGAAACCAAATGCAGCTTAGCATGGGATTCTATTAGCCCTCAGATGTTGTCTGGTCCATCGGTTAAGTAAAATTTTCTACACTTTTGATACTGTTGCTAATAGAGTTATTAATCCATTATACTTGAGAACTCGTCAGTCCTCCTCCTTAAAAATGGGTGACTTGATCTTTTGATCTCAACCTGTAGGCGGTTGGAATCTGTCTAGTTACTGACTAAACAGCTTACTTAGCAGAATATATGGAGAATCAGTGTACTGTTGGAGGAAAACTGGTTTGATGCCACATCCTAGGTAGTTTTATAGACAGACTTTTCATAGCTTCTTCACGGATGCCCTTGGAGTCGATGTCTGGGTTACCAAGATGTACGTTTTCTGCTAGCATTCTCGAAGTTTTGTTGCCTTTCGAATGCGTTAATTGGGAACTCAGCTGTTTCTCATTTGCCGCGAAGTCCGTCTCTCTAATCTCCCACTAGGGAAACTCCTTAACCTGTCTTTCCGATAAGCAATGAATCGCTACAGGTCCCAGTAATCTCTTTATTAAGTGTCTTGACAACGCTCTCTTATCACTTTAAACTTTAGTGCTATAGCGATTTCGTAGGGCAGAGTATTCTGTATAGTCGGTCTTCCCCTGAGATTTGCTGTCTGTAATGTGCCCTTCTTCCGTTCTTCGGGAGACGTGCGGGGTGTCACTTCTTTACAGTCAGCCTTATATCCATGGAGATGAAATTGTTGATGACCTTCATGGAAACTCCCTTCAACTACTTCTATTGCTCACTCACAGCTAAAGAATGTTAATCCTGTAGTCAGTGCCGTAATACCATAATGTTCAGCTTGCCGCCAAATTCAGCTACTACACAACAGCGTTAGGTAGAAGATTTACCCTTCGTCTCTTGTCCCTTACATCTTAGTTGAACACTAATATAGCGTAAGAAGTGGAAACCATATAGTTGGTGTGATTCGTCTAGTTGTGTGGTCAGCCTAAGCGTGAGTGGACCTTAAAACATGAAGTGGAGAGTTATAACATCCATATCTGTGTTCCCCACAAAGTTGAGGATTGGGTCCAATTTTTCACCAGTAGTATTACAAGATCACTTCCTGCGTTTTAATGAGAGGGGCTGAATCAAAGCAAGCAATAAGGAACTAATTCTGTTATGGACTTGACAATGAACAAAGATCGACTGCAGTAGTATGATTCGTTCGAACGTCCTGAACATCCTGTTTGCAATAATAACACACATTTCATTGTTTCCCATAATTTTATCCTTCTTATCTTTCAGTTTCTGACCTGTTTATGGCCATTCCAAGTTTCGCATATTGACCTTTGACCTAGTCCCTATTTATGTCAATTACTCATCATGGTGCTTCGCTTTACTATTGCGGGTTTCCGAACCGTTGATAGTGACATGTTGTTGTTATCATTTTACTTGGCACTGCCTCCTTTAATCCATTACATTGAGCGAATATCAGTATCGGGAGACATTTTCGAATAAAATGTGTGGCGCAACAGGGTGCGGGATGTATTTTCACGCACTATATGGGTTATCGCGTCCATGCCTATAGAGGCGTTGTAATCGTTCAGTTTTGTGAAAATAGATTATATTTGACACAACACAACCACGCAAAAGCGCACACGATAGCACCTACAAAGGACAAACAGAAAACCCAGTCGACTGCCATTGTTCTAGCCAATGAAAGACGAGAAAACCTGAAGCGCGGTAAATTTAAAACGCGATAACGTTTATCTCCACCCAGCGCAACAACCACCAGTCATGCAAGTAGGGATAGTATAACACCAGCTTTGAAAAAACGTGTATTAACTATAATTACAAATATTAGAGTTGACAGGCAAATCCCTTACAAACAGTTATTCATTCTGTCTTCAATAATGTCAATTTTTAAAAGC